CAGTGGACACGGTGATGGATGTGGCAGTGGACACGGCGGTAAGTCACGTACTGTACATATGTTATTGTTTTGTTTTGTTCTTCTTCAAGGTCAAGTGGCAACATCAGGCCCAGACACAATTACCCTCCCTCACCACCCCTCCCTCCCTCCCCCTCCCTCACCACCCCTCCTCCCTCCTCCCCTCACCACCTCCCTCACCACCCCCTCCCTCCTCCCTTCCCTACTGAGCCACCCCACCTCCTCCTCCTCACCAACCCTCCCTCCTCCCCTCCCTCCCCCACCCTTCCCTCCACCACCTCCCTCCTCCCTTTTCACCGACCCTCCATCCCTCCCCTCCCCACCACCCCCTCCCTCACCCACCCCTCCCTCATCACCCTCCCTCCCTTCCTCACACACCCCTCTCCCTCCTCCCTCCCCTTCCCCTCCACCACCCTCCCTCCTCCTTCCCTCACCCACCTCCCTCCCCCGCCCTCCCACCCCCCTCCCTCCTCCTCCCTCACCACCCCTCCCCCTCCTCCCTTCCCCTCCACCAGCCCTCCCTCCTCCCCTCACCTCCCTCCCACCACCCCTCCCCTCCACACCCCCCTCCCCCTCACAGTCTTCCATAACTATTACCTCTTCTCTACACGATACAGAACAGAGGAAATGATAAAACCGATTATTAGGTTACAGTGAAACCTCCATATAACAATCTTCTCTCTCCCTACTAATCTCACTAATCTCACTACTAATCTCACTAATCTCACTACTAATCTCACTAATCTCACTACTAATCTCACTAATCTCACTACTAATCTTACTAATCTCACTACTAATCTCACTACTAATCTCATTAATCTCACTACTAACCTTACGAATCTCACTAATCACATTTAACATCACGTTTTATACTTCCTTTAAGTTTTGATGAGTCATTTTCAAACCTTCAAGTCATCAATAATTAAATTTTCTAGGTTTACCTCATTTGGTTGATATTTGACCTATACATGGCCTCATAAGGTCAAGTTTTTATACCTAGGTGGTAAGCTTTTCTCTTTTGCTCTCAAATTTCCATCGTTCTGTAATTTCCATCGCTCTATAATTTCCATCGCTCTATAATTTCCATCGCTCTATAATTTACATCACTATAATTTTCATCGCTCTGTAATTTCCATCGTTCTGTAATTTCTATCGCTCTATAATTTCCATCGATCAGTTCCGAGATTTAAGTTTCTGTCGATAATTACAATAATTAGTTTAATAATGTTATAACACTTTATAATAATTTAACCCTCTGTGACTCCAGTACTATTATGGACTTTAAATGTTTTTAAACTATATTATAAAGAGTGAGGGTTGTAATGCAAAGCCCTGAGGCACACCATAATACAACCCCTTCAAATTTATAATAATAATAACAACGGCATCCACAACAACAACAACAACAATACCACACCACCACAACAACACAACAAAACAACAACCACAACAACACCACCAGAACAACAAGAACAACAACACAACAAAACAACAACCACAACAACACCACCAGAACAACAAGAACAACAACACAACAAATCAACAACCACAACAACACCACCAGAACAACAAGAACAACAACACAACAAAACAACAACCACAACAACACCACCAGAACAACAATAATAAGTTGTGAGGATTGGATAGGTCTTTCCTTTCTTGTAAACTCTCAGTGTCTTTCTTGTCTTTTTTTATTTTTTTTTATTATTTATTGGGCACTCCCCTACATCCTTGTGTAAGGTGAAGCGCAGAAGCGTTTCAGTGCCCAACAAGGAAGCATGCTAAGTTCATGCTTGCCTTTATGTCTCATGAGTTAAGGGCGTAGAAGCCTGAAGAGTCAGTGGTTTATGTCATCAAGTTATTGGAAGCTCCAACAACTTGTCCCTGAATACGAATTCGCAACTTTCGATTTACACCAGGTACTTTCTTGTCTTCGTGAATAGAATAACAAAGGTGGCTACGAACTGGTCATCCTGTGCTCTAAGTTACAAATCAAAGTAAGGAGAACACTCACACGAGAAATATATACATCAGGTAGCGTAGATTACGTCGTACTAACTGACACAGCCGATATTAAATTTGTACTGAACTCAAAATGTTATTAAATTCTCTCTCAACTGAAAAATAGATTAAATTTTCACTCAACCAAAAATTAGATCAAACTCTCTCAACTAAAAAATAAAAAAATATATTACATTCATCATCATTCAAAAAATAGATTACATTCTGTCAACCAAAAAAAAATATATTAATTTCTTCCTCAAACATAAAACATACATTAATACCGTAACACGTAAAGACAAAAAAAAAAGTAGTTATTTTAGAAGATTAAGAGAAAATGGAAAATTCCCCACGAAGTCTTCAGAAACAACTGTGACCTTGTTGATTATAATGACTAGTTGTGTTAAACTTACCATGCACTTCAACTATCACCAGAACGAGATGTTTATAAACCCAGTGTCTAAGAGTGTGGGTAAATGCCGAGTTAATGAATGGCAGTTTAAATGAGAAGAAAGGTTAGGTTTGGTTAGATTAGGTTAGATTAGGTTATGAGAATACAGGTAAAGGTGTAGTAATATATATATCAGACATGTTCAGTAATAAGGAGTGAATTTTTTGTGATATTTTGTACAGTTGCCCACAATATACCTTGGACACTTATGATTATAAAACTGTGTAATATTTGTTCGTGGGTCATGCATGCGTGACCGTCTTAGACCTGTGATAGTTGGTAACATTATAAATTACGTCATAATAACAACAACAACAACACCAACAGAATCAACACCAACAACAACACCAACAACAGAATCAACAACACCACCAACAGAATCAACAACACCACCAACAGAATCAACACCAACAGAATCAACAACAACACCAACAACAACAACAACACCACCACCACCAACAACAACAACAACAACAACACCAACAACAACAACAACAACAACAACAACAACAACAGAATCAACAACAACAACAACATTTCAAAATACCAAGAAAACTTAAGAGTAAATACAAGCTGAAAATAACAACCCTCTTTACTTACTTAACCTAACCTAACCTAACCTAACCTAACCTAACCTAACCTATCCTAACCTAACCTAACCAAACCAAACCTTGACGCAGAAGAGGCTAAATATCACCCAAACTATCCACAGTTTTGGCCCTTAACCGTACATGTATAATTTACGTTACTAACTCAACATCAACAAACCTGTCCCTTTAATAGACACTAAAACCTTAATAGATACAGGTTAATTAGTCAAATGTACAGGTGTTAAAGCACAGGTAGTGGTGGATGTAAGGTATGACATCACAGGAGCATTATAACGAGGCTGAGGTTAACACAGTCAAACACTCATTCATACACTCATTCATACACTCAGTCATACACCCAGTCATACAGTTATTGTCCAGGTATGTTCACTACCAATCATAGCTCCTGACAACTTGTTTCCAAAGGTGACGTCACAGAAAAACTGGTCGTAAGATTTTTTTGAGAGTAACACTTCTTGTTATTGTGTTTATTAATTAACGCTGCATCGTATGTTGCTGAACCTGTTGTTATCAATGGGATTACTGTACAGGCTTTCACCCCATGACAAGCATTTTGTTTATATAATTTCTCTCGTGTTGTTGCTGGTGGTGGTGGTGGTAGTATTATTGTTGTTGTTGTTGTTCTGGTTGGTGTTGTTGTTGTTATTCTGGTTGTTGTTGTTATTCTGATTGTTGTTATTCTGGTCGTTGTTATTATTATTGTTATGGTTGTTTTAGGTACTTCACTCACCAGGGTCTTTTAAACCACCGATCACTTACTCTACAACTCTCTACTATAAACGACTTACCTAAACCTAAACCAAGATATACTGAAGGAGGGCCCAACACCCAGGTCCTCCTCCTTTGGGGTCACTGGCCTCTAACGCCGATGGTTCCTGGGTCCAGTTATCACCTCCTTTCTAACTCATAAACATATGATCATACAACCTGCTTTTGCACATGTCATTGCAAACAATTCTTTTTCTTGCAAGCATTATATCCTCTCCTGAATGTCAATTGGAATATCACGTTGTTTTTGCTGATGTCATCCTACACCTGCAAGCATACCTGTTCTGCGGTTCTTCATTATATGCTTCCCTCTCTTGCAATTCGGCTTAACTATACAACTTGGAGTGTCAGGTGTGCCATACTATAGATACACAGGTGTCAGGTGTGTCATACTATAGATACACAGGTGTCAGGTGTGTCATACTATAGATACACAGGTGTTAGGTGTGTCATACTATAGATACACAGGTGTCAGGTGTGTCATACTATAGATACACAGGTGTCAGGTGTGTCATACTATAGATACACAGGTGTCAGGTGTGTCATACTATAGATACACAGGTGTCAGGTGTGTCATACTATCGATACACAGGTGTCAGGTGTGTCATACAGCAGAATAAATCAAAAGTTATGTGATTTATTTCTCTGAGGTATATATAAGCTTGTATAATAATCGCTCTTATATAAAAACAAACATGCGGTAGGTGTGAGTGTGGCTGGTTGGTGCAGGAGAGAGGGA